GGGGAGAGTTAGTCTTTGCCAAACAATTGTTTGTTTTGGCTTGCCCTCCCCTGGCTTTTAATTGTGCCTGTTGCTGTTTGCCTTGCCTTGCTTGGAAGATTGCTTTTCTCTTGTGGCCTGCGTTTGGCCTTTGTTTCACTGGGGCTTTGGAACTGCTTCTTTTCTTGGACCTGTTCCTTGTCCTGAGGACTGCCCTTCAGTGGTGGGATTCAGCTGGTTCACACAACTTCGGCAGAACCGGTAGCTAATTGTTTTGTTGTCCAGGACCAGAATGGACTTCCGGAAGTGGCATCCACACAGAGAACTGGTTGTTCACATATTTGTTGCCCTTGTATTGGGCCTGGACCCTGCCTGGTGGATTGGACTTGGAACCCATGACCTTGCCCTGTGGGCATGCTTTCTTGGTACTGTGGGCTTTCTTAGTACTATAGGGGCTGTTTTGGGGGGGAGTGAGGGTGGCTGCCTTCAGGATAGCATGAAGATGAAGCCTTATGGGTTGTTGGAGGGCTGGAACACTGATTAAGAGAAATAAAGAACTCTCTAGAGGCTTGCTTTGACCATCTTGGTCATAACATCCAAAGAATTTCATGTCCCCATAGGAAAATACACATTATCATTGTATAATGGAAATGGCTCTGCTTGCATTCCATCAGGTATACTCTCCTTCCTGGTCCTCTTCCACTGCACCATTCAATGAAAATAAAGATGTGTCAAATGTCACTCACCATAATTAGTCCTTTTATTTTTAGAGCAGCATGGCTGATCCCATATTGGAACTTTTTTCCTAAATGGGCGGTTCTTGTTATTCCATAAATTATTTACTTGAGTTAGCAGTCACAGTGGGAAAACAAACATTAATTAATGTTCACCCCTTCGTGTTTATTTCTGTGATATTGAAACTCTGCTACGCTAAATTCAACTCATCTACAAGCAACATGATGCCAGAGTTACAAATCAAGTTCCTAAAAGAAAGGTCCTCTGACTTGAAATAGCAGCCAGCAGTCTTTCAAAAGACCAGAGATGTTCATTGCAAAAGAGTAATCTTGTTTTCCATTTGCTGTAGAGTCACATCCTCTGCTAAATTTATATTTAGGTCAGTACATGTTGGTAGATTTTTTCCTCTTCATGACCTGCAAGTCATGAAGTTTGCAAGTGACCATTTCAGAATATGACCTATTTAATGTACAGTGATAGTTTTTTTTAATGGAAATTGCTATCTGATCCCCTAAGAACTTTATCTATGTAAGCTTTATTCTCCAGGGCCTGCCAATGTTTGCATTTCAAATGTTTTCATTTGAGCATCCTGGGTAGATTCTGGGTAGAGCATCCTACAGTTTTATTATTCTTTG